GGGGGGGGGGGGGGCTTGGGGCCTGCTACATCTGTAGCAGGCAGTCACAAATGCGTCCTTCACCAGGATTCGTACATGTGTGCACGGATGCACTCGTGCGCGCACGCGCACACGCGTACACACACACACACACACACACACACACACACACGCACGCACGCACGCACGCACGCACACACTCACTCTCACACACGCAAGCACGCACATGTTCACACACGAACACATGCTCTGAGCGCGCACACACGCGCGCTGGTCTGAATGAGGTCATCACAAGTAGGCAGGTCCGTCAACCATCAAGAACCTCAGTAATTTGTGTGTCCCCCGCAGTTTCACTGCAAGTCCATCGATCCCTGACCCATAGCAATACTTCATGTGTGCCATTTACCCTTGTTCGCAAGCTGAATCATGCAAGATGTGGCAATGAATCGTTTGCACAACCTGCAAAAGCTGCTTCACACGGTCCATATACATGTTGCATTCAGATATACGGAAATACGCCGGGGCAAGGGGTATTGCAGTGATGTGTCACACTGCTAGCGACACCTCAGGGCCCACACATGTGCATCGCATCCGGCACACGCAGCTCACACGCAGCGCAGTGCACAACCCCAGCAACAAAACACTCCAACACAATCACGACGGCGGGATCGACACCCGCTGCAATTCGATGTCATACTCGAGCGTTGCGCCCGGCGGGATGACGCCCTGCTTCTCAGGCACGTGCTCCGTCGGCCGCAGCACCGCACCGCGGTCGCCGAAGCCGAGCGCCGGCGGCACGACCACGCGTCGCTTGCCGCCGGCGCGCATCGTCGCAAGCGCCTCCTCAACTCCTGCACCGGCGAAGGGGGCAGGGGCGCGTGGTCCGTTGGCAGTCGTCTGAGGCTGGTTATCGTCGCTTTCTACATGCGCGTTGAGTCAATTTGAAGGATTTGAAGGAGAGAGAAGCGAATTGAACGCCGTCGCACGAAACATGGGTGCGCGCCTCCCCAGGCGATCAACCAGGGGAAAAGCGCCTGCCCCCGCTTACCAGCGCAGAGGCCGCCGGTGAAGGGCCGACCTCCGTAGAGGTACACGATCGGCTTGCCCCGCGCCCGCGTGTCCTCGAAAACGGCGCCGTCGGCGCGGCCCACGTACGACAGCACGACCAGCAGCCCCTTGGAGGGCGCCTGGCCGCCGCCGACGCGCTCGTCGGTGTAGCGCACGCCGCTGGGCAGAACCACCTCCTGCGAGTGGCGCGGCCAGGCGAGTGGCGCGGCGCGCGTGAGGGGGTGGCGCGGGCTGGGCGGGCAGGCGTGCGAGGGGCGCACGCAGGGGTCTGGACGGCGGCCTGCGGGCTGCGATGTTGGAGCCGGCCCTCTTTTGCATGCCTGGAGGCTGCCGGCCCTCCAGGCGCGTCTGCGAATCCCCCCCATGAAACCCTCCCTGTCGCGTCGCGGTGATTGGCAAGAACAATCTGCCGCGCACGAATGCCGGCGGCGCAAGGACAGGTGTCAGCAGCGCGTTGAGGGATCTGCAATCAGCCCCTGGGTGTTCTCTGACAAAGCGGGGCCTGCAAAGAAGGCCAAAGCTGCATTTACCTGGCCCTGCACGTCGCGCGTGCCCTCCTTCTCCGCGGCCACCTCCATGCGCGTCTTGACCTGCTCGCCCAGGGACCCCACCGCCAGGACACCGAGCCAGGCCAGGCCGCCCGCGATGCCGAAGCGCCTGCGCGGGGCCGCGGGCGGCGGTGGGCCCGACGTGCGCGTGCAGGGTTTGCAGCGGCCGGCTAAATACAGTCGCTGCGGGGGCCAGCAGCTGCAGCATGCGGGTCATGCCAATGGTCAAGATCACGTTGATTCGACATAGTCGCAAGTCGGCTGGCAAAACCCAGCACCTGGTCAGGAAAGAGGCGACCGCATCTGTGGAGTCCGCCTGCCGCCGCTGCTTCGGCCGTTCCTGCTCCTGCTGCTGCTGGGCCTCCTTTTCAGGCTGCTGCTGCTGCTGCGGCGACGGCGGCTGCGGCCGGAGCGGCGCATCGTCGGTGGTCGTGGTGGCCGCTTCCTGCTCCCCGCCCGCGCGCGCCAAGGTTGGTCCACGAGCGGACGCCGTCCCTGGCGCTGGCGTCAACAGCCCCCGCCGTGCAGCATAGCGGGTGCCTAAGCTGTTCCCCACCCCTGATTGCACCGTGCAGGCTCTCATTGGGCCAGTGCTGGTCGAACAAGCAAGTCTGTGTAGAAAGGTCTCGTGCGTGCCCCGTGAATGGTTGTTTTGCGTATGTTGTGACACGTCATAGTCCAAGCAAGAAACCGCACCGTGGGTACGGTGTCAAGTGAGTGAGCCCGCGCTGCGGGGAATCCCAGAGTCGCAGTGTTGGATTCACATGCATCCGTCGTTCATGGCAAGGGTTATGATTCCATACACCTCACCCTTACATCTTATCTATACACACGCGGAATCAGACGCAGGTGCACGAGAGCTGCCCTTCTCAACTTTCTACTCCCTCGCGTGTAGACCTTTGGCAAGCACCAAAAGCAGCGCGGCTGCACTCTAATCCCCGTAATACACAGCGCCATGCACGGCGCGCGCTTCGTCCAGCAGCTGCGCGCCGGCTTGCGGCAGGGCTGGCGCGCACACGCCGCTGGCGCGCAGCGCAACGTCGCCGCCGCTGCCGGCGCCGCCGGCGCGCTCGGCCAGCTCGTGCAGCGCGCCGGCCTCAAGCTCGCCGGCGGCGCGATGGTGCTCGGGGGCGGCGGCACGGCGGTCACGATGATGACGCGCGAGCAGCAGGTCGAGATCGAGGCCAGCAGCGAGACCGCAAAGCTGGCATGGGTGCAGGCGCTGGCCGCGCAGCCGGGCATGCGGGAAGTGCTTGTGCCGGGGCAGCAGCTGCGGAAGCATCCTGTGGGGCAACTGATCAGCGAAGAGGATCACTTGGTGGGTGCCACGGGGGTTTTCTCGTCGTAAAGGGGGTCAGGGGGAACTGTGTTGGTTGAGGTGCGCTTGGGGGGTGGAACAGGGGCGGCGAGTTTGCTTTTGAGGGCACGTTCACATGCGCGCGTGTGCCACAGGCCGTGAACATGCGAGTGGATGCGACCGCGCATCAGCAGCCGCTCGCAGGCTATTGACCATGCGACCCCTGCCTCGGCGACCCCCAACTCTCCTCCGCCGCGGCCCCGCCCCTCCTCAACGCTGCGCCCCCGCACCGCCCTCGCGCCGTGCGCCTCAGTTTGAGACGATGCGCAGGAGCGACCAGGTCAAAGAGTGAGCACATG